AAAGGCAGAAGAAAAGGCAAATGATGGAAAAAGAATAGAATTTTAGAAAGCCTGATCAAATACATACATATATAGGGGGAAAAAATAAATAAGAAACTCTGAATCCGATTCCAAAAGAAAAAAAAAAGAGGGAAGAAAGAAAAGGGAAAAAAGGAGGAAAAAAATACTCTGTTAGTGCATGGGTCTGGTGGCTATGATGGTGGGGACGAGCGGCTGGCTATGTTGGGCCAGTCAGTCTTTCCACTAAGTAGTCAGTGGCCAGGCATAGAGCAGAAGTGTTTGGTGCAAGCGTGTACTGCCTCCACCGGGGGCCTGATGTGCTTCTCTCTGAAGTCCCATTGTGTTGATGTTGGGGGGAAAATGGTGGCACTCCAAGCTCTCCTCCAGCTACTTGGGCTTTTAACCCAGATCGTATAGGCACTGCTCAAAGAACAGAGAGATCAGTCAGCTAGCCTTGAGCCACAATTGTCCTATAGTTTCTCCTTAGCACTTGGCTGGGATTCGAACGTTGATCTCTTAAAGGATCCGGTGGGGCCTGGATCTGGATCTGCACCCCGCCTCTGGAGAGGAGCACCCCAACGTATTGCTGAAACGCCTTTGGCTGGCAGCGGCAGGGTCTTTAGTCCTTGGGGAGGCATTAAACCCTCTATCCAAAGTGCTCTGGGATGGGGACTGTTCATCCTAGTGCACCTCACAGATCATTACACCACAGAAAGCAATCCAAGGCCAGCTCCGTTTTCTTCAAGAGCACATACCATGTCTCTACTGTACCGGTATGATAGTTTCCCCATCTGATTTATTTGTAGCATATATATCAACCTCACAAAAGGACACCCTTCTATTTACAGCAACACAATAAACCTAGAGGCCTTTTATTATTATTTATTTTTGAGAGACACAGAGACACTGTGAGCAGGGGATGAACAGAGAGACAGGGAGACAGAGAATCTGAAGCAGGCTCCAGGCTCTGAGCTGTCAACACAGACCCTGAGGCGAGGCTGGAACTCAGGAATCATGAGATCATGACCTGAGCCGAAGTTGGACACCTAACCACCTGAGCCACCCAGGAGACCGAGGGACATTTTTGTTGTTTTTAGTATATTGAAACACTACCATCGCCCTCTAGCCAAGTTAGTAGTCTTTAAGTTTTAGATTGTAATGTTAGCCTGTAAACTTGATTTAACGTTTTTCTTAAAGTTTATTTATTTTGCAAAAGAGAGAATGCATGAGTGGGAGAGGAGCAAAGACAGAGGATGAATCTCAAGCAGGATCCACAACGTAAGCATGGCAGGACAATACAGGGCTCAAGCTTATGAACCACAGGGTCATGACCTGAACCAAAACTGAACACAGTCTCCTCCAGTTTGACTCACGTCCAGGCTCTTCTCTGATGGACCACTTTGGTAGGACGATCATTTAGCATTAATAAGCAAACAAAATTAAGAAGATTTAGGAAAAATATTTACTTTTCACCTCCCTCTTTAAAAAATAATATACACAGAAAAGAGGCCCAGGATTAGAGCAGTCACCACACAGACTACATTGTGATACAAGCCAGGTATGCAAAACAGAGAGGAACCCAGGAAAGACCATGTGAACAGTTTTCTATGTCCTACTGTTTTAGAGCGGCCCAGAAAATATTTGCTATCAAATACTTTTCATCTTCCTGTGAATTACATTCTTTCCCTCGGAGGCCCCAGACTTCTGATTCTTTCCTCCTCCCCTTCTTCCTGCTTTCATTTCTTTCCTCTCCCCAATTCCTTCTCCTCCTCCTTCTCTCCTCTTCAAAGACATATATACTTTTCCTATGCAGTTTGCTTGTGTTTCTGGAGACTCCATTCATAGACTATTAGATTTTAATTCCTCCTGTTTGTCACATGCCAATGTGCTTCTTACTCAACAATGAAAACTTCCTCTGAGGTTCTGGTTCATGCTTTCGTATATTCTTCCAGACTGTATTTGGCTCCTCTTTTATACCATCAATGTTATGGGAGAAAAAGAAACAGAAAGGCAGGACATACCATGTGTATTCTGGGGGAAATACTGGACACCCATTTCCAGGTCCTAAGGTATGAGAAGTCTAACTCACATGCACGTTCCTGAGGTACCCAGCACACCACCATGTGAGTAAAAGCTGTGTGCAGAGTAAAAGCTTCATAAACACTGCCTTAATGATGTGTCTGTTACTTTCCAAATACAGACCTTATCAGCCTATACCTGTTCCAAATACTGTCATGAGCATATACATCTAACACACTGACCTACACACTCTAGCTTATGGCTTGAGTAATTGTTGCTTCTTTGAGATTTCAACATCACTGATGCTGGGGAAACAAGGAACACAATGTTCAAGTTTAACCATGGTAGAAAAGTGGACTTTTTTTGCCAGCAAGTCTTGAGGTCATATGGAGAATGATTCAGCACTGTACCACTGCTTCCTCTGCATGTCAATGCTCAGGAGTTCTGTGACGCCCCTTTAAAAACTCCCTGCTTTCTATGTGGCTTTGTAGATTTTCTATAGCCCCTGCTTCAGAGAAAGAAAACAGGTCAAATAATAGGTGTTTCTAATAAGTCTCATCGGGTCCCTGTTTCTGAACCTATCTGATGTGTCCAGACCCTTTGAGCGCCATCTCCAATATCTTCTGAAATGTGTGACATTTGACAGCAATGCCCACAATGATTACATCATCCAGTATCCCCTCCTCTATAACTGCCACTGATCAAGGCCTGGGCATCACAGGAATCATTGTCCTCTTACAGCATCTGGTTCTTAGTAACACACAGGAATTCAATTCAATCATGAAGATGAAATGGCACTTCCATCATCCTCAGAATCCCACCACGTTTGCCAATTCCTTATCTCTTTGACTTTTATTCATCAGATGATGCGACAAAGCGCTGCCTGTGACTGTGCAGTTCTGAAAAGGGAGCCACTTCAGGTTCCCACCTTACACTGGAAAAGGATCTTCATATTTTCTTACTTTCTATCCCTTTCCTACAGTATTTAATCACAGGAGATAGGTTAACATTGGTGATGGGATAACACTTCACGCTGTAGAATCCATGGAAATACATTAAAAACAGTTGTTTTATTAATTAAATGTATTAAGATCACACATAGACGAAGTTATGCATGTCCAGTCCCCTCTATTAGCATACTTCAATATCCAGAATGAAAGCCTTAAGAAAGTATTTTGTTGATAAAATGTTGTGGGAATACAGACTTCCGGGCCTGAGGTCATAGGTGAAAAGTGTGTATTTATAATTGTATGCTATTTTGGGGAAGAGTTAATTATGACCTTTCGAATCGCTCTGAGTATGTCATCATTTCAACCCCATCAACTGATATTCTCTAACTCTTGCTGTAGTGAAGATATACCAGTGTTTCACTGAATTTCCACCTTTTTTTTCCTTAAAGACAAGCTGGGAAATTATTTTATTTATAATATTCAACAAGATTTTTAGCTTTAATACAGGTAAAAGAATGATGTTTGGAATACCATTTCATGAGAACTTGCATCAATATTTCCCCACCACCACCATCTCCACGTAGATTTTCTCTGTATATGGGGTATTATGTTGCCCTTCATCTTCCATGGAGAACGAGGTATGAGTCATACCTAACAAAGAAAGGCATGTCATATCTTTGATGCACCAATAATTAGCCACATAATTTTCCAAAGCCTCTCAGAATAGATGCATTTTGGATGTATTTTGAGAAGAGAAATACACTAATATATTCTAGCCAAAAATGTCTGAGAAGGTTGATGTGGCAAAAAGCAGAGCACAGACTGAAATTAATGATACCTATGCAATAATTGATCTATTGAGGGTCACCTGAGTTGTTCAGTTGGTTAAGCATGAACCTTTGGTGCAGGTAGTGAGCTTGCAGTTCGTGAGTTCAAGCCCTTGTCGGGCTCTATGCTGACAGTTCAGAGCCAAGAGCCTATTTTGGACTCTGCCTCCCACTCTCTCTCCCCATTCCCATATCCTGCAGTCTCTCAAAAATAAAAAGCATTTAAAAGATTGATCCAATTAATCTCTTAAGGCATAATAACATATACATTGTGTTTAACCTTGTATTAGTCCTTATCATCAGTATGTTGGCAAATGTCTGAATACAGTCTGATGCACTACTTTCTAGTGTGGATTTGGTAACACTTATTGACATCTGATGTTCAGTAAAATATTTTTCCAAATATTTATATCCTTCAAGTGACCTTCTTTCATGCACTGTCTGGGGTTTGCTAAAGCGTACATTTAATTGAAGGCCTTTCCTCATTCATTATGTCTGTACAATATAAATCTCATGTGAACTTTTCGATATTGATTAACGATCAAATTGCACTTATAAGCACTACTTCTTTTTCCTGTGCATGCTACATTCTATTCTGTAAGTTAGCTATGATATGGAGCAAGTCGTGAGGTCCAGCTATAGGATGGGCACATTCTTTACCTTTGTAATGTTTCTCCTCACCATAAAGTCTGTGATGACGAGTAAGGTTGAGCAGTCATAAAGGGTTTATACTTTCTTTACAGTTTAAGTTTTTTCTTCAGTATGAATTCTGCGATGTAGAATGAAGCTTCACCTCTGATGAACAGACTTCCCAAAGTCTTTATATTTGCAAAATCCTCCCCAGTATTCAGTCTCTGATCAGGAGTCAGCATTTAGCATTGCTTCAAAGCCTGGCCACACTCTTTAGTATTCAGTGGTTATTCGCTAGGATACATTTTCCTATGTGATGGAAGGAGTGAGCAGTCCACAAAAACGTTTCTCACATTCCTTAAATTTGAATGATTTGCTCCAGTATGAATTCTGAGATCATGAGAAAATTGTGATTGAAGACTGATGAAAGACCTAATTACATTCTTTACATTTGTTTCTATCAAGGTTTCTGTCAAGTATGAATTCAGTGCTGTCGACTAAGGTATAAGGGTCAGTTAATAATCTGGCCATATTCTTTACATTTGTAGCATTTCAATCTTATGAATTTTGTGATGTCTAATAAGGTGTGAGTGTTGGATAAAGGCCTTGCCACATTAGTTGCATTGGTGAGATTTCTCTCCAGTATGGATTCTGTGATGTCTGTAAAGGTTTGAGGCCTGGTTAAAGTCCTTACCACATTCTTTACATTGGTAAGGTTTATCACCAGTATGGATTCTGTGATGTATGTACAGTTCTGACCTGGACTTAAAGGCTTTTCCACATTCTTCACATTGGTGAGGTTTCTCTCCAGTATGGATTCTGTGATGTATGTACAGGTCTGACCTGGACTTAAAGGCTTTTCCACATTCTTCACATTGGTAAGGTTTCTCCCCAGTATGGACTCTGTGATGTCGATTAAGATCTGAGGGCCATTTAAAGGCCTTTCCACATTCTTTACATTGGTAAGGTTTCTCTCCATTATGGATTCTGTAATGGTTGTAAAGGGTTGAGATGTGGGTAAATGCCTTAGCACATTCTTTACATTGGTAAGTTTCCTCTCCAGTATGGATTCTGTGATGTCGATTAAGAGCTGAGTGGTTCTTAAAGGCCTTGCCACATTCTTTACATTGGTAAGGTTCCTCTCCAGTATGGATTCTGTGATGTCGATTAAGAGCTGAGTGGTTCTTAAAGGCCTTGCCACATTCTTTACATTGGTAAGGTTCCTCTCCAGTATGGATTCTGTGATGTCGATGAAGGTTGGATGAATTGTTAAAGGCTTTGCCACATTCTTTACATTGGTAAGGTTTCTCTCCAGTATGGATTCTTTGATGTTCATCAAGGATGGAGAGCAACTTAAAGGCTTTGCCACATTCTTTACATTGGTAAGGTTTCTCTCCAGTATGGATTCTGTGATGTCGATGAAGGATGGAGGATTGGTTAAAGGCCTTGCCACATTCTTTACATTGGTAAGGTTTGTCTCCAGTATGGATTCTGTAATGGTTGTAAAGGTTTGTGATTTGGGTAAAGGATTTGCCACATTCTTTACATTCGTAAGGTTTCTCTCCAGTGTGTGTTTTGTGATGCTCATTAAGGGTTGAGGATCGAATAAAGGCCTTGCCACATTCTTTACATTGGTAAGGTTTCTCTCCAGTATGGATTCTGTGATGGTGATTAAAGGCGGAGTACCAGTTAAAGGCTTTGCCACATTCTTTACATTGGTAAGGTCTCTCTCCAGTATGGATTCTGTGATGTTTTTTAAGGACAGAAGGCCGGTTAAAGGACTTGCCACATTCTTTACATTGGTAAGGTTTCCCTCCAGTTTGAGTTCTGTGATGTTCGGTAAGAGGTGAGTGTTGGGTAAAGGCCGTCCCACGTTTTTTATGAATGTCAGTTTCCTCTCCAGTAAGGATTGGACTATGTCCATTTACTGATGAGTCATCAATCAAAGTTTTACCACTTTCTTCACATTTGTAAGGTTTACCACATTCTTCACATTTGTAAGGGTTGTCTCCAGGATGCTCTTGCTGATGTTGAATTTGTACTGAGCACCAGCTGAAGCCTCTGCCACCCTGCTGGCAAATGTAACCTTTCTGTCCAGTATGGACTGTCTTATTTATATGCAGTCTTGATGACTGGCTAAGCATGTTCCCAGGTTCATTTCATTTACATGCGTTTCTTCCCGCATGAATCCTCTGATGGTCACCAACATTGGAGGACATGTTAGGAATTTGTCCGCATTCATTGTATTTACAGGGTTTCTCTCCCAAATGTATAGTCTTATGTGCAATAAGATTGGTACTTTGAATAAAAACCTCTTCATTATTATTATCTTCATAATGGTTCTCTGGAAAAGGAGTCCCCAGGTGTCTTTGATGCCAATCAGTCTTCCCAACCTTGTCCCAGCCTACCACTAAATGTCCATTCTCAAAGGCACTATGTTGATATATATCCACTGACACATTTTGAAAAGAAGTTTCCATGAACGTCTTTGGAAGAATGCTCTCGTCAGCATTTGAAGATACTGCTGAAAGGTAACGAATGAAAGTAAAATCATTCTACTTTCTTTTTTAAAAATTTTTAATGTTTTATTTATTTCTGAGAGAGTGAGAGACAGCGTGAGCAGGGAAGGGTCAGAGAGAGAGGGAGGTACAGAATCCAAAACATGCTCCAGGTTCTGAGCTGGCTGTCAGCATAGATCCTGACACGGGGCTCAAACCCACAAATGTGAGATTTTGACCTGATTTGAACTCGGTTGCTTAACCAACTGAGCCACCCAGGCGCCTCTTCACTCTCTACTATCAGATGAATACAATGAGAATTTCTTATACTCAAAACTGAAAAAACTTTACCTTAAGGGAAAAATAATCATTTTTCTTCTTTTTCTTTTAATTTTTATCTACTTTACAGTTTATTTCTTTTTTGACAGAGGAAGGGAGAGCATGAGAGGGGGAGGGGCAGAAAGACAGGAAGACACAGAATCTGAGGCAGGCTCCAGTCTCTGAGCTGTCAGCATAGAGCCTGATGGGAGACTCAAACCCTCAAATGGTGAGATCATGACCTGAGCTGAAGTCTGACACTTAACTGACTAAGGCACACAGGCACCTCGAATCATTATTTTTTCTATATCACTCAGATTGTATCTGAATTTAATCCCAACTAATATTTTTACAAAGTTATTGTTGGCATATTTTACAATTTGATGGCGTTTCTTTGTTTAGAAATGAAAAGTTCTGGGGTTACTGGGTGGCTCCATGTGTTGGGCATCTGATTCTTGATTTCAGCTCAGGTCATCATCTCTTTTTTCGTATGTATCAGCCCCACATCCTGCTCTGCACTGATAGTGTGGAGCCTGCCTGGAATTCTCTCCTCTCTGTCCCTCATCCACTCACTCCATATTTCAAAATACATGGGGAAAAAAATAAACTTAAAAGAAACGAAAATTTTTTGCTGCCTTGACTCTAAAAAATGGATTATATCCTTAAATTCTGCATAATAATGTCTGTTAAGTGCTTATTTCATAAGGGCTTTCGTTACAGCTTTCCGTGGTTGATATTAATGAATACACTTTACAATTTTCCTGTGCAGGAAGACATGCCAGTAATTCAAACTCTGCCTTTTCTCATGAGTGCACGGTCAGAGATAGTATTATGGCAACAGGGACGTGTAGGGGGCTCAGGAGGTCCAATATCCAACTGTGGCTCAGGTCACGAGTTCGTGGTCTGTGAGTTGGAGTGCAGGGGCGGACTCTGTGCTGTCAGCTTAGAGCTAGGAGGATGCTTCAGATGCTGTGTGTCCCTCTCTCTCTGTCGTCCCTTGTTCCCTCTGTCTTTCAAATTAAACATTTCAAAAGATTTAAAAACAATTTGACACAATAAATCATAATGCAATCTCATATATAACTACTCAGAAAGTGAGAAAACATGACATAGTCAGAGGAACTTTATATGATACACGACAAAATTATAAAGTGATTCAATTATTAAAAAATAATGTTAACAATTGAGATTTTATTATACAATGCAAGTTTTGAATTCTAATTTATTTATTTTTTAAATTTCAGAAACAGAGATGGCATGACCAAGGGAGGGTCAGAGAGAGGAGGTGACACAGAATCCAAAATAGGCTCGTCTCTGTGCTGCCAGTCATCACAGAACCCAACGTAGGGCTCGAAACCATGAACTGTGAGATCGTGACCTGAGCCGAAGGCAGACATTCAAGTGACTGAGCCACCCAGGTGCCCCTGCAGGTTTTGAATTCTACATGTCTATCTCCCTTATTACATTATTTTATGTAGAAATTCTAGGGAAATCATCAGAAATTTAAATTATTTTACCATCGAGGAATGGGACATATAGAGTGGAAATTTCTTATTTTAGTTAATACCATTGATAAATGAACTTTTCTTTCTTTTTCTAAGCTTCGTAAAATTTATTTTGAAAGAGAGAGATAAAGACCAAGTAGGGGAGGAGCAGAGAGAGAGGGACACAGAATTTCAAGCTTGCTCTGTGTTGTCATCACAGAACCCTGTGTGGGACTCTAACTCACTGAATGTGGGATCATGACTTCAGCTCAACTTAGATGTTCTGCAAAGGATCCACCCAGGCGAGGTAAAACCTGAGCTTGTGAAGTGAAATTAAGTGTTAGATTTTCTCATCTTAGGGAGGTACTTTAATATCTGATGACATTAGTGGGTCTCTATTTTGTACAATAAACACTAAAGCCTCGGCAAGATGGCGGAGAAGTAGGGAGCTCTGTACTTTCACTCGCGCCCATACATCACACAGAAAAGATCTGAAGCCACAGGAAACCTTATGAAACCCAAGAGATTGGGAGAAAAAGGACACAGAATCCACTGAGAAAGCCTTCTAATGTGAGTGCGAATTGGGGAAGATAAAATCGGGCCAGGATCAGAGACTCCAGGGTCGGAGGCGATCCCCCTCTGCAGGGAGTGAGAGGGGAAAAAAGAGAGAGTGTGAAACAGAAAAACCTCCGCTCGGGGCATAGAAAGACCGAGTGCACTAAATATCTGCGCACCAGGTCCCCTCCGGCCAACTGGTCCCGGAGGGGCTGAGCACACAGACTGCTTCTTTGTGCTGCTCCTGGCGGGCTGGACTTCAGAGTAGCGGCACACCTGCCGCCATTGTCCTCCTGGCGGGCTTGGGCCCCTGGAAGGGCCGCGCGTGGACACCGAGCATCCGCGCTCCTGGCTGGCTGGAGCTCTAGAGGGAAGGCAAAGAGCTAAAGACTGGGAGATTTGCCCACGAGTTCGTGTTTCAGGTGACGAGTCACAGAGGGACCTGGTTTTCCTCACTCCAGCGGGCTCCGCGCACCCGGCAGGCAAGCCCCGCGCATGCGCGCCAGCCCGACCCAGAGAAGGAAGCAACAATTCTGACGCCACCCCCAGAGCTCGGCAGGGGCCCTGGAATTGCCCCGAGGGGGTTGCCAGGAAGTTGTGTCTAAGGCAATTTCAGCGGGGTTCGAAGACTGGGATTTGGAGACTGGGACTGGCCTGGGTTGAAAAGCGCAACCAACATTGGCTGCGCCCACGGTACAGGGAGTTTACACGCCCAAAGAAGCGAGGTGCAGCGCTTGGGTCAAGAAGGGACTAGAGCGCCGCCACTCTCCTTCCCCCAACCGCCAAGGCAGAACTCCCGCCTGACGCATTGGATCGTGCATGCCACACCCATCCCTGCTTGAGAGCTGCCCTCCGCCCTTTTTTTTTTCTTTTCTTTCTTTTTTCCCCAGAACACTGACCTGATTAACTCTGGTCACCGGCTTATTTAAACAATCACATTTAGTCCATTCTGTAGATGTAAATTCTACACCTACCGACATTTTCATCTCTTTCTCTCAGGAGTAATTAGACTATATAGTTTCTCTGGATAACACCAGGATCCTTCTCTCACCTATCCAACCATATTCCACCCTTTAGCTCTTTGAAAAAATCTTCTTATTCCTTCTGCCTGTTCATTCTATTTCCAGTTTTGCCTCATCCCCGTCCTGTCTTCTCTCTCTTTCTCTATGCTCTTCAATCAGCACTGCATATACACGTCTATTTAACTTTAGTTGGGAAATTCGGTTATATGCTTTAAACCTTTCTTTGTCTATTTGTTTTCTTCTTTTTTCCTTTTCTTTTCTCCTTTTTGACCCTTTTATGTATTTTATACTCCCTATTATTCGCCCTCCCTCCTCCGTCTTTTCTCTTAACTTTTTCGTTTTCCCTCTTGGTTTGCATATTAGTTGAATTAGTCTGTGCGTTTGTGTGCTCCTACTCCCTGTGTGTTTGTGTGTTTCCTTCTCCAGGGCTACCTCATGAAACAAGCCAGAGTACACAAGGTGCAGAGTCCCAAATATCACTACAGGTAGGAAAATAAAATAACCAAGGTCCCAACAACAGAGACCGAGAGATACCATTCAAAAAACACTCTCTGAAAGGATAGGCCCTGGACAGTCAAAGAGTCTTCTTGGATACAGCAGCGCTTATAGGTGCTGAGAGCATAACAAGTCTTTAAAACTAACAAGAGCCAGAAAGCTAACTAGGATGACGAAACAAAAGAGCTCTCCTCCAAACAAACTCCAAGAAGAAATGACAGCTAATGAACTGCTCAAAACAGATATAAGCAGCATAACTGAACAAGATTTTAGAATAATAATGGTAAAATTAATAGCTGGGCTTGAAAAAAGCATAGGGGACATCAAAGGATCTATGGCTACAGAGAGAATGGAAAATAAAAATAGGCATGAAGAATTTTAAAATGCGATAAATTAGATACATAATGAATTAGAGGCCTCCAAAGCACGGATTGAAGAGGTAGAAAGGAGAGTAAGTGATTTAGAAGACACCATTATAGAAAAACAAAAAGCTGACAAAAAACAGACAGACTGATCCAGAAGCATGAAAGAAGAGTTCAAGAGCTCAGCGATACGGTCAAACACAACAATATCCGTATCATAGGAATCCCAGAAGAGGAAGAGAGAGGGAAAGGTGCTGAAGGAGTCCTGGAACAAATTATAGCAG